GCTATATTCCTTCAAAGGATTGCAGGGTCATTGGTCTCCTTGGATTTCATTTAAAATATGTAGGTAAAATCGACAAAGTTTGAAGAGAAGGTTAGACACAAGATGTGTTAAGAAATTTAGGATAAAGGCTACAGGAATTTGCCTTGGCGAGAAAAGGTATGAGGATTTTATCATGGACTAAGTTTTTTATTAGAGTGATTAGCTTTTTTATTACAGCACATTGCAATTTTTTTTACAGCTTAAACTAAACATAGGAGCAGCTGGAAAATCATATTGCTATGACTAAACTACGTACATGTCTCCAAGTTTGATGGTTTTTGGTCCTCTCCATTTAGAAGTTATGAGGGATCAATCATTTTCCATTTGTACTTATCTAATCTATTAATTTAGGGATTGATTTTTATCTACTACTTAAAGTTGTCATTTAAATTTGGACTCTTTCATAGTTGTTACTAAAATATATCATGTCTCATATAAAATACAACCTATCAACTTAAATTAAACCAAATCTTAACCGATGTTGATCAATTGAATTTAACTAATTACATCTTTAGAATATTTTTGGTTATCTCTTAATATAAATAAATTGTACAAAACTGAACCATTTGAAAAAAAATGTCCAACTCATTTATAACGTGTTTTCAATACAAAGATTAAGAAGAGGTTCAACATATTATATATGTCATATATATATTACAAAAAATATATATAATATTATATACACATTATATATAACATATATTAAAATTAAAATTTGACAAAATAATGTCCGTCCTAAGGGCGGATTAGAATCTAGTTGAAAGTTTATGCTTTAGGAGTACATCCTATCCTAACTGAAACTTTTTTTTTTCAGGACTACATACTGTTAATTGTTTATAGGCATTCTCAAGTTGAACGATGTACATCTGACTCCGTAAAGATATCTAATTATTCTATTAAACCTAAATTTTTTCAACTTAAAAAAGGTCTAGATGTAACTCATGGAATCGTTCAATCAGCGTACATGAAAGGAGAATAAGATTAATCAAAGGTTTTTAGGAACCAGAGAAACCTCCATTATAGAACCGACAAAGATTCTCAAAGATTTGATAATTTTTCTGTTTTTTTTTTTGCATCTAAATCACAATATGGCCTACAATGGTGTGTGGAATGTTTTAGTTTCATAACCTTGGGTGGTTAACAATACAAAAAAACAACGAAATATCAGACAAGTTGTTTACAAAACAGAACAAAATTATTTACTATTATTACTGAAAGTATATTCAAAACATAAATACATAATTTATATAACTGAAATATTCAATAAACTAAGAATAGTAATTAATATGGACATAGTAAATATGTGATGCTATCTTAATTGTAACTAGATTTTTGTCTTAATTGTAAATAGTAATTAATAGAAATTTTTTATGATTAAAAATTTAGATAATTGGGGTTTTGTCTAAATTTAAAGAATGTTTTGGTATAAAATCAGTTCACCAAAATTTGTGGTGATGATTGTTTTCATTAGTTTTTAGTTTCAATTTTTATTTTTAGATTTTGTTTTAGATTTTGATTTTTTTGGGTTTTAATTTTTAAGTTTCTATTTTTGATTTCAGCTTTTGGTTTGAGTTTCTAATTTTTAGTTCCGTTGAGTTAGTTTGAACTGATATTACTCAATTTTTTTATGATTAAAATTTTATAATTGGGATTTTGTCTTAATTTAAAGAATATTTTAGTATGAAATCAGTTCACCAAAATTTGTGGTGATGATTGTTTTTCATTAGTTTTTAGTTTCAATTTTTATTTTTAGATTTAGTCTTAGATTTTGATTTTTTGGGTTTTAATTTTTAAGTTTCTATTTTTCATTTCAGCTTTTGGTTTGAGTTTTTAATTTTTAGATCCGCTGGGTTAGTTTGAACTGATATTACCAACAAACAAATCTCAATTAATCGAACATGTAATTTATAACTGAAAAGATGACACAATAATTTTCTAAATTTTTTGAAATAGTTTATTTTGTAATAAAAAAGCAAAAAATATAATTCAAGCGCATAAATTTTTTATGATTAAAAATTTATGTAATTGGGTTTTATCTTAATTTAAAGAATGTTTTGGGATAAAATCAGTTCACCAAAATTTTGTGGTGATAGTTGTTTTTCATTAATTTTTAGTTTCAGTTTTTATTTTTAGATTTTGTTTTAAATTTTGGTTTTTGGTTTTTAGTTTTTTAGTTTCTATTTTTGATTTTCAGCTTTTGGTTTGGGTTTTTAATTTTTAGACCTGCTAAGTTAGTTTGAACTGATATTACCAACAAACAAATCTCAATTAATCGAACATGTAATTTAAAACTGAAAGGATGACAAAATAATTTTCTAAAATTTTTGAAATAGTTTATTTTGTAATAAAAAAAGCAAAAAATATAATCTGCGTTTTCAGCTTTTGGTTTTGGATTTTAGTTTTTAGATTTGGTTTTTGGTTTTGCTTTACATTTTTTTTTAAATCTGTAAATTATTTAAGAAAAATAAAAGAATAAATTATTTAAAAGTTACCATTAAAATTTATCAAGATAGAGTGATTATTATTTAAAATAAAATATATTAACATGTTTTAAAGTACATGATTTAAATAAGTGATTAATAATAGATAATTTTTTTTTGTTGAAAATATTAAATATTTTTGGGCTAAAAATATTAACATAAAATATTAACATGTTTTAAAGTACATGATTTAAATAAGTGATTAATAATAGATAATTTTGTTTTGTTGAAAATATTAAATATTTTTGGGCCTGAAAATAGTAATTGATTTTTGATCCATTAAGGTGGAAAGTTTATTTAATGTTTTTGGAGTTTTTCTTTAATACTAAGCCCAAAAACCAAACAATTAAATGTCATAAAAACAAAAGTAAGCCCAAAACTCTATTCTATAAATAACCGCCGGTTTAGTTTAAGTAATGCGGTTCAATCAATTATATAACTTGTATTATTTGTAACACTCTAGAAAAGGTCCAAATTTAAATAACAACTTGTATCAGTAGATAAAAAGAATGACTCTCTTTTAATAGAATAGATGTAACTCATAAATTATATAACCACCCAAAACTAATGAGTATATTATGAAAAATATAATTTATACACGTAAACAAAATCTATAAAATTTAATCAATATATAATATAGCGAAATAAAATATAAATTTATTTATATAAACTGTTTTTAACAAATTGGTTTGCAACAACAGGAATTTTATCATTTTAACAGATAACAAACCAACATCTCAAGCTATCACCATCTACTTATAACTACGTGTTTTCTGTGTTTTCTGGTACCATTTGCAGAAATAAAAGTTTTAAAAGTTAGTTTTAAAATTTATTATTTTTATATTATTAATTTATGTTAAGTATATGTATAAATTAAAATAAAATAAAAAAATTTTATTTAAATTTATATTTAATAATATATGTGTATATATTTAAAATTAAAATTTTGGAAATATTTTTTTATCTTTTTTCTTTTGGTTAAAATATGTTAAATCAGATTCTATACAATTAAGAGAAAATTTTGTTAGGTATATAATTATCAAAATATTAATTTAAAGAATATTTTAAAATTTATAGATGTTATAAATAAAACTAAAGGAATTGAGATAAGAAAATTACAATTTTTTAAAAAACCTACCACAAAATTTTGAAAAAACTTATTAATAATAATTATATAATTATACAAAATAGACTTGAAAAATATTTCAAAATTTGTAAATATTGTATTTCTATTTTTACTATTATATTATTTATTGTTATGTTAGTGATAATTTATGAGTTATTACTATATTCTAAAAACTTACTAAAAATATATATTAATATTAATTGTAAATGTACATGTCACAATTAATTTCAAACCATGTCATCATTATTAGTGGACATGTCATCATTATTAGTGGAAATGTCATCATTTTCTTATAAAATTGATTGTGGTGATGATACATGTCAAAATCACTTTGCACATAATATATAAGAGATACCGCACATAGAGTTTGTACTACTATATAAAAAAACAAAATTATATTAAAAGTATATAAAAAGAACTAAATTAGAGAATTCTAAAGTTATCTACATTAGCAAAAAGATCAGAAAATATCTAAACAGTTACATTAACTGAATTATTTAGTTTTTGAAACATAGATATTTACTTATCTTATTATATAAAGTTGGATTATTTTTAATAGAACTTTTCTCATAAAAATCCAAAAGAAAAACAAGATACATGAATAATAGAATAACAGATAAAGTTCAAATAACTCTTTAATCAGCTTGCTCACCATCCTAAATATATTATTTGATATCAGATTTCTTTAAAATTAATGTGATTTATTATTTTTATATAGTTTTTCAATATATATATATATATATATATTAAAAAATAAAATGAAGTTTAATTAAGATATATGAAAACAACTAGACATAACTACGGACAATCTTAAATTGCGAATATTTTTAGTTATTTATATTGAAAATATTTCAATATTTTATATAATAAAAGCTACTCTTAATTGAATACTAAATTTGAACTGATATCTCAATAACTGTTATATAAATATTAGTCATAGATATTAGTCATATAGTCATAACAAAGAAAAATATTTATTAGTCAAACAAAATAATCCACAATTCATAGTAAAAAAATGATAAACTAACAAATTTGAAATATCTGGTAAAAAAAAAAACATAAACCGCGCGTAGCGCGGTAAAAATCTCTATTCAAGCATTAATAATTACCGTTTTAGGTTATTGAAATCATAATAGTTCTATTTTTTTTTCTCATCGGTCAATCAAAATCAACTAATATATTTGAGTTCGTTAGTACAAATCCGCATTTTAAAAAGGATGATGTGCATAGTAATATTTCAAGCATTCTTCTAGAAGAAAATGCTAATCAGTTTGGAATTTGGAAAATTTGTATTGACAAGAAAAGAGAGAGGAAAGGGAAATTTTTGGACGATAATATTATAGTGAGATTCATCAGTTGAAATTGGTATTATTAGAAATGATGTGAACAAATCACTCCCCCCGCGGTTAACAAATTTTCCTTTTATAATAGCTCTCTTCAGACATATTTAAAATAATATAAATTTCAGACTCGAAGAACATCATAGTAGAAACCATGGTTATTAGTTTTCAATTTTCAGCTTGGCAGTCCCAAGTTGTAGTTAACCGAATTAAATTAAAACAAAAGGAAGAACAGACTAGTAACCAAACCAAACAGACCCATTGATCCAGCAATTTTGTTCATTGCTCCTCCGTTATCGTCTCCTCCTTTAGGATCTCCTCCTTCGCCACAAAAAAAAACAGTTGATTACCATAAATCGATTACCATAAATCACCATTATTCTTCTTTCATAATGCATGAAGAGTTTACAAACTTGCATAATAGATGTCATATTTTTTGTAATGCAAGCTATGCAAACCATAAAGCAAGTATAAATAAATGCGTTTATACAAAATAACATGCATACTTAAATCACAAGATTACTTATGAATTTGAAATGACAAGATTATAAAGTAGGTACCTTCACTTGTACCATTGCAGGCGTATTTGTCAACAACACCACATCCGGTGTTGATTTGGTTGTAGAAAGGTCGGGTCAAGTTGCTGCTGAATGGATGTGCGATGAAATTGTCGCATACACAAGTCACTTGTTTCGCGCTGGCCGACTTGAGATTCTTGCAACATATATCTGATGGCGTCAGACTAAACGTTGAGTAGCAATTTTGAAGGATATCAGAGACCTCTGTTATGCACGTTGGATCCATCTTTGGCATTGGCGGAAATGGCGACATTGGCGGTAGTGGCGGCAGTGGCGACATTGGCGGGAGTGGCGGTAGTGGCGACATTGGCGGGAGTGGCGGCAGTGGCTGTGCCTTCGTCCACTGAGGAGCGATAACAACCACTAGAAACAGCACCGCTGTCGCAACCGCTGCCGGAACTTTGTTAATGTGGATCATGACCATTGTCTAGCGCCGGCAGAAACAAAGGTTTGGTTTATTTTTATTAGGAACTACTGTTATTTCGTTTGTGATTTCTCAAAAGTACATCATCTGTGTATTATATATAGAGAAGTCGTGAACAGTACTGGAGTTGTTGATTGATAACATAGATATATTAATTGTTTTTTATTTTGCTTTACATTGTTGACCAAATCTCGAAGAATAAATATATTACAAGTAATTGAACATTCTTAGTGAAACAACAAAAACCAAATAATACTTGTAAAAAACAAAATTAATCAGAATAGTCAGTATAAAAATAATCCGTCCATGAGTCCATCATATGTTGGAATGACTAAAATCTTTTTCTTTTTGCTACTTAATTCTCACGTAACTACGTAAGACGTGAGAACCACTATTGTACAACCGATGCTACTAACATATACTATTTTAAGTCCGTTTCAAGTAAATATAATATTTTTTGACAAAAAATTGTTAAATCACTCAAACTATAGGTGGTGAAGATCCAGATCGGAATTGAACAATCGACAAAATAAGATTTTTATAAAAATATCAGACAATTTTGGCAACTCATCTGCTAAATAAATATAACTTATTAGAACTAGCTGATTCTTCCGTATTCATACACATAAATAAATATTTATAAAATAATTAAATTTTAATAATTTGTAATATTTTTTTTTTTGTAAGTTCTTAAATCATTTTGTAATTAAGATGTATGATACATTAATAAAAAGAGTATTAGGTGTTATTAATGTATTCATTTTAATTAGATAAATGATTTCAATTATCATATTTTGGGTCAGTTCAAGTATATATTTTGGATATGTTGAGTTGAATATATTCTTTAGTCACACAATAAATTTTTATTTGGGTTAAAATTGAATTATTCTTTTCTTAGCTTCAAGTAGTTCAGTTCATCTTCTTATATTTGTAAATATATTTTATATAATTTTGTATAGTTTTCATATAAGTTATATTGAAAAAAAATGGGGAATATAAATACAAAATCAGGATTTTATAAATAACATAACTTGTAATAGTTTGAAGATTCATGCACATATAAAATAACTAAATTATAATAACTAGTTTATTTGATTGTTCTATTTTTTTCGATTCAGTTATTCATATTTTGGTATATTGTGTTTTATCATTTCTTTTGAAATGAATCATATTTTGGTTGTAATTGGACTAAAATAAGAATAATGTTGTTACTTAGATTGGTTTATTTTTCTTATTAGGTTCATAAATATATTTTCTAAAATTATGTATAACTTGATATACAATGTTTTGGATAAAATTGAATAAATTAGTGTTGAGGGATTTAGAGTTACATAAAAAACCGAATCACTACTACTTTAAAAAAATTTTGATTAGTTAAAATTTAAGAAAGTAACTATTACAAAAGACATACAAGTTTGTTTCCATCAATTTGGTTATATTCAATTCGGATAAAGTAATAACAATAAGTTTAACTTTCAATTTATTTATTCATTTTAAGTTATTCATTACATAAATTTTATATCAAGATCTGATAATATATGATCACTTTATGTTATTAAAAATTAATTATTTAGTCAAAAATAGTCATAGTAAGAAGTGAAATTTTATATTTTTATTCAGCCTCACATTTTAAAATATTTAATTGGGTTTAAGATAGTGATAAGATATAAATATCTTTGAAAATATGATATTAATTGATCAGTTTATGTTTTTTATTTATTCTTTAATCACTAATGAAAATATATTCATAATAAAATCTTTGAAAATATGATATTAGTTGACCAGTTTAAGTTGTTAGAATTATTTTCTTTTTAATCATTTACCAAAATTTATTCATATTAAACTATTTTTGAGAAAATAATATTTAAAATTATTTATTTTGTCAATTTTTTGTGAAGTTATGTTATATAAATATATTTATATGTCTATATATTTCTAAAATTTATAGATATTTCGTTTTATTTAAGTAATTTGGGGAAAAAAATGAAAAACATAATTTGTTTACATATATATAAAAATATGTATGTTTACATTTTTAAAATTATCTCCTTTTTTGGTTTTGTAAAAACAAAAATTTAAATTTAAGAAAAACTCTATTAAGAAAAAATGAAATAAAATCATTGTTATGAATGGCAATTTGGTACAATTTTTAGTAAAAAATAGAAATATCAATAATCGCAATTATAATAATTAATTCAATTCATTAGGAATATCAATGTTATCAACATTCGTGAGAGTTAACGTGAGCTGATGAGATAAGAAAGTCACTTTAATGTTATAAAGATATTTTTTTGAAAAATTGTAAATAACATTGGTAAAATTATATATGATATATATATAGACAAGTTAGTAATTTTCTTGACTTCATTTTTATGAAAAAAATGATTTTAACTACACGAGAAAGACATCACCACATAGATACACATCTGGATAAAAGTAATGTATTGAAAACTATACGAAGTTTATGTTTCTATAACAACATCCATGAACTATAATATATGTGTTATGTTGTTAGTACCATCAACATCATTGCATAGCTTAAAACATATTAGATTTGGAGTCGACATAATGAAGTTTTAACAAATTTTCATGTTCTCAGTTGTAGAGCATTGCTTTTGAATACTTGATCTATGAATTTATTTTGTTTATTAGTCTTTTGTATATGTATATGGTCTGTTTCCAAATCCGACACATTCTTTTAGCTATGGAAAGAATGATGGTGTTAGCAACATAACACCTAACAATTCATGAATATACTTTTTTTTTGAAAATATTCTAACAATTCATGAATATTATCATGTGAATCATATAATTATGTAGATTTCAATATATTACCTTTTTTGGAACAAAATATTACTTTTGTTATGTGATGATGTATCTTGTGTAGCTTACAAATTTTTTTTCTAATTGATAAAGAAATTTGTTGACCTAGTTAAGGAACTGAAACTAAACTCGTGCGGAGCATTCGTGAGACGTGAAAAGCACTTTTGTAAAACTGATATGCTATATATTTTACCATCCTGGTTTGTTATGAACTTATGTCCACATACTATATATATAGTCAATTGTATCCTAAATTTATAATTATTTATGTGAAGAACTTCCCAAATATATCATATAATCATGTGTCAATTATGTTGTAATCATGCCATCACCAGAATAAGTTATTAGCGACGTGTTCAGCACCGCACCTATTAAACTATTAATTAAGGGGCCTAACGCGTTATTAAAAATATAAATGCAAAATTTTTGAAAACCTTACTGTTTTACAAAACTACAAGTACGATGAAAATTAAAAAAAAAATAACAATACTAAAATTAAATTAAATTCCTCATATTTTTGGTGTTTAAAATATTACTTCATGAATATCTTATTGAATATCATATACCATGCAATTTTTTTATAAAAAATGTCTTCACTAAATTTTTGAGATAGAAAAAAAAATTAATTTGTATGTCTTATTTCTGAGGTAGCTACCAGTGTAAATAATTTAAAACATTCTCGGAAACAATGAATTACATTTAAAGTAATGAGAAAAATGTTAAAAATCATAAAAACAAAACAACAAAAATGACAAATAAAGAAGATTTTTTTGCTTCTCAAATGGTATGACAGAAAACAAGTACCTAGATGTATGGAAACTCTTATGAATAATAATTACAAATAGTTCTAACAAAAACTTCTAAAAACATAAGTTAATCAAAGTGTTTTTTTGGGGCTCTAAGTTTTTATGTTTATATAAGGGGGCTGAGGCCATTGCCTCTTTTTCATATGGGTACGCACGGCCCTGGACGTGATCCGACGTTAGAAGATTTATAAGCTTTATATAGAACGTGATCAGCGTAAATTCGTAATCCAACCTGATCATTGTTTTAGTAATGTTTGCATCAAAGCAATTCAATATATGTGGTGGGAAGCAGTGTCATGCTAGCACTTTAGGAGCCCTAAGGCAGAATTAAAAGTAATTTTATTTATAATTTTTAAAATGCTATAATAATTAAAAAATTTATAATACATAAGCTGTAAGAAACTATAGACACAATCTTTATAAATGTTATTTTTTACATATACCAATTTTCTTATAAACAAACTAAATCAGAGAAAGAAAGAAAAATGTGGTAGAAACATAATTTGAAAGCCACCTGTAAACTTTATAACAAATATAGCAAAGTGTTATATGGAAGCAAATATGAAATTCAAACTACGTGCATATAGCTATCTAGGAAGACACTGACACCATCCTTTATAAAAAAAAAAAAAAGACACTGAAACCACTAACCATGAATTACTTATTTGATTTTACAAAAAAATGAATTACTTTATTTGTTTGAGGGTCCTGAAAATTATATATTCTTTGGGGTCGAAGGCAAATTCCTTTTTGATTACATCATAAGCATATATGGATCTGGTTGGAAGAAAAACTGGACGCAAAAGCTGATGTTTCATGAACTTTAACTGATGAACGTACCGCTCTCGCAGTTTGGCTATACACCACATATAGGCACATCTATCTATCTATCTATATATATAAAGGAGAACACACTCCTCATGAAACGACTTCAGCATTATAAAATTGTGACACATGTCATTTTTAGTTGTAAAATTAAAGCTTAACTAAATTCTTATGTTTATTTGTTTCATGGACCATTATTCTAAATTCATATCTGACCCATCTTTTTTTTTTAGAATTTCACACATTTACCAACATAAAAAAAAAGTTTATCTCTTAACATGAAGCGGTGACCGGATAAATTCATAATAACGTTTTAGCAACGTGATGACTCTGTGATAAATAAAATACGAGCTCCATGTTTTTGTTGTATCATACTTCATCCTATGTTAGCAAAAGATCAGTAGTTATATCTATGTTGATAACACCATATTTAATACCACTCTATAAATCTATATATATATAAAGAAAAACATAATTTCTTCTCATGAAACCACCTCAGCATTATCTAAAATTGTGACACATGTCATTTTTAGTTGCAAAATTAAA